TTTTCCTGTTGAGGACAGATTGCAAAGCTTATTAAGCCGTAAGATACCGCTTTGTTTCTACTGCCTGAGTGTGCACAGGCTTTGGTTGAGTATCTCAGAGTGTGAGAGAGCACTCTGTGAGGATATCTGGTGCTGATGGCAGGCAGGACAATGACCCAATGCTCATTTGGTCACACTGATGCTTTACRCTAACCCAGAAGAGGACTCCCATGCCATTTGTACCAATGACCCCCAGAAAAACCTCCAGCCTCCAGAATCCCAGACAGAAAACCTGGACTGTTATCAGGCTCTTTATTTGGAAAAAAGGAGAGGCTCCATTCTACCAGCAGAGCTGTCTGCAGCGGCCGTGTTCAACAGCTTTTTTCTTCTTTCTTATTTCCTCTGACCTAGGCTAATTGCTTCTTTCATCTGCACAGAGATATCCTGACTCCAGAGATCGTCAATTAGCAGATCTGTTGATTTTTCCTCCCCGTCACTGAGAAATGTAGCCTAAAGCAGTGGTTCCTCTCTTCTCACCCCCTACGTTGGATCCAGTTATCAACTGACCTCAGGACACATTGGATCAGTTTTTGATCTGATAGGAACCAAATTATTTGAGATGATTTGTGATTTATTTTCTATCAGATCAGCTAACTGATGCAATTCACCATGGACTGCAATATGGGTGCAAAGGCAAGAAAAACTAATATTTAGGGATGGGGCAAAAAGGAACCTGCCCTTCAGAAGGAGTTCCCTCATGAGAATGTGTAAYATAATGGTCTTTCCTTGCATTTAAAGTGTTATATTGTCCTGCTAGTTAAACAACATGAAAAATGTAAAGTCACAGACTCCATGAAATAACCTGATCCACTTTGATTCATATTAATAGCGCACACAGAATCAATTGTGATGAGCACAGTCCTGTGGAGAGGTTTTAGGTGAAGCATCTGCCCCTGGGATGGGGCAGCCTCTCTGGTACAAACAGCCTGGGGACTGMAAYGYTGGGGAGCAGTGCCRTGGAGAGGGACCTGGGCATCCTGGAGGAGGGCAAGTTGGGCAGGAGGGGCAACTGGGCAAGYTGCCAGCAGTGCCCTGGCAGGCAGGAGGGACATCCATGTCCGTGGGGCATCAGGCACAGCTGGGCAAGGGAGGGTATTTTCCTGCTCTGCTCTGACCTGGGGCAGCCTCACCTCGAGTGCTGGGGGCCGGTTTGGGTGCCACAATATAAAAAGACCTTAAACTATTAGAGAGTGTCCAAAGGAGGGCAACAAGGATGGTGTAGGGTCTGGAGGGGAAGCCAAATGAGGGCACTTGGTCTGTTCAGCCTGGAGAAGAGAAAGCTGAGGGGAGACCTCATTGCAGTTACAGCTTCTTTGTGAGGGTAAGAAGAGGAGCAGGCACTGATCTCTTTGCTCTCATGACCTGTGGAAAAGGTCTGAAGTAGTGTCAGGGGAGGTTTAGTTTGGATGTTAGGAAAAGGTTTTTCACCCAGAGGGTGTCTGGGCACTGGAACAGGTTCCCCAGGGGAGTGGCCAGAGCCTCAAGCCGGACAGAGCTCAAAAAGCATTTGGAAAACTCTCTCAGGCACATGGGGTGACTGTGCAGGGCMAGGAGTTGCACTTTGATGACCTTTGTGGGTCCCTTCCAACTCAGGATATTCTTTGAGTCTGACTGCAGTCCACTCCCTGCTTCAGAGGCTTTGTTAGAYGCTGTGCTTATGTCTAGCCTTTGTTACCTGGCTCATCATATTTGCTGTCACCTCATACCTGTTGGGAGAGGTGTGGATGGAATTCTCTGAGTCTTATTCAATGAATGTTCTCCCGACACTGTTTTTAATTAATCCCATTTAAAGGGATTCATTGTTTTGTGGGCAGGGTTCCTTTGCCCCAGGAATTTTAAGTATTTCGATTTTGAATACATTATCGAGCTAAAATGATTTTCTTAAAACATCAATAGTCTTYCAGCTCCTTCAGTACTCCCTGACCCTGAGGGAGTTGCGAGGAAAGCTACCATCATGTGGAGGTGAAAGAGGAAGGAAAGAAGCTTGGGTCAGCATGGAGAAATAAAGGGAAAGTCTCTTTTGTGCTGGGTTTTGACTCCATCCTGAGCTCCCAGAGGTGAGGAGCCATTCCCCTGATGGGAGGGCTGTGTTTCACACACAGGTTGACAGCTTTCTCCATGCCCTCCATCCACCTCCCATTGCAGCAGAGGATCAATAAGGCCGTGCATGCAGAGAGCAGCTGCGCCGATAGTGGTCACTTCAACAGTCTGTCTCCAACTCTTCTGGGAAAAGAAAAAACAAATCTTTGGCCAGATGGGAGCATTCTGATGGATTTCTCTGAGTTTTACAGATCACACTGACAAGTTTTGGAATMATTAGTTGGTTTTTATAGTAAAAAAGAATTGTGTGAAAGGTACRATATGTAGTGTCTTGAATTATGCATGCAGCTTTTATGGTGATATAAACTGCTTTCAAAGAAGAGTTTTACTCCCTTTAGCAATGTATTTTTTTTTTTAAATGTTGTTCTTGAGTCCCTCTTTTAAGAGCATTCAAGCACTTACCTGACTGTAGAAAATAGGTACCATTACTGAACTTCGCAAAAAACTCCATGTGTGATTTGTTTAGATCAAACTTTTAGACTAACTGTGAAGCAAAAGTTTTAACTATGGAACCACCAGCAGCCTTCACAAAAAAAAAACCTGCCAGCACCAGCCTGCACAAATGATGCAGACCCTTTGTTCCCCAAAATTGTAAAACTTTGGGGTCCCAGAAATCACTGGGAGTTCAGGGTGCACTGCAATTGGCAGGATCACCATCTGCAAATACATTTTATTTGATGGCTACTTAACATAAAATACTCGAGTCCCTGAAGGGAATGTCCCTGGGTGAATAGAACCAAGATCTTCCATCACTCCGTGGCTAAGCTCCCTATTCATGAGACCAGCAAGTCATGCCACCACCTACAGCCCAATAATTATATTTGCAAAATAATGTGACTTCAAAGGGGGAGGAGGAGCACCTTCAGTATCCTCATAGAATAGTTTCAGCTTCAGAACAGCTCATAGCTCGCAGCAAAAGCATCTTCCTGGGAAGAGAGGTATGGTTTTGAATGCCCTTCATCCTTGGGGCTGAACACGTTCCCCACAGTGCTCATGGTGATGACTCTGCTGCCAGCCTGTTTGCTCTGAGTTATTCAGAAACGAAACTTGTAAATCTTTCTTAGGTGTGGCCTGAACATGGCCAATTATCTGGCCTTGGTGGCATTTGTGGCAATAATGCCTTGCCTGAGAATTCAGCCAATTCGGGCATATCTTAGGTACCATGATCTTGTTTTTACCAAGATAGCAGCAATTCTAAGCACATGCAAAGCAGAAAGAGGCTGTGAAGCACGGGACTGGAAATGAGTTGCCTAAGGAAACCATTTGGCAAAGCACATGTTGGGACTGGGCAGGATTTATGCACCTAAGCTGTACCTAAATACTAATTTATGGATCTAGGCCAATATAAGTCTAGTTGTGCTGCGTGCATTTCTCTGCAAGGAAAAAAAATATTCTGCATAGTGGAAGGTATCCACTGTTCTGGGGGTTRGGAGCTTTTGCTCTATGCTTTACTAAGGCTGCATGGGGAAAAATTAGGACATGGCCACTACCACCTCAGGAGCCCAAAATGCACATCATTTCCCCTTGCTGTTGCCAGGCAGCTTTCCACAGCCCTCCACAGGAAGAGTCATTACTCACTTTACTCATCATCTAAGGGCTCTTGCTCTGAGGAGAGAAGGGAACTGTTTATAGAATAACTTGTGTTTTCCCCAGCTTATCGTTCCTCTGGTAGTCTATAAATCTCAGGTGCTGTCAGTGCTGAGTGGAAATAAAGGGTATTGCTGGACAGGGAGGAATTCTTATCTTGTATCCAGTTACTTAAAGATAACTCCAGATCTTCTCACATTCACTGCTCTTCATGTCTGGAATGTCTCGTGTGGGACAACAGGGATTTAAAGTTTCGACTGCATGGTGTGTCGGGGACCAAACTGCACAACAGCTTGTCTCTCCAATTTTATTTTTCCTAAAGTGTTCAGAATGGGAGAGAGGACAAAGCTGCCTGTGCAAAATACTGTCAGCTGTGAATTACAAATGCTTTGTGGACACAGGAATGCTGCGAGACTTCCCAGCTTTAGTGCTTATTCAGAAAGTGGTTTTGCAAGGCAAGATTCTCTCAGAAACACCATGGCCACGGCACAGTTTTAGTAATTYACATTTGTCATGTATAACTTAAATCGAAGGGGTGTATGGCTATGCATAAATGCACATGCAACCACATTATTCACGTGAATGAAAGTACACACACAGGCACAGAGATTCATTTCTGCAGCCGCGTATTTTACCTCAATTACCGCCACCTCCCTGAAAACATGTATCCATCCATACCCCAGMCCTCTTCTGGGAGACGGGCACAAAGCACAGACGGCACGGTTTGCACGAAGGAAAAATATGTGTCTCTCTATACTTTGAGGATTAAGCCTTTATGCAAGATACTTCAAAAAAAGCCCGAAGCGGAGGGTGTGAGAAGCGCGCGTTCACCCGGGGAGGAAATCGGACAAAACTTTCAATTTCCTTTGTCCTTAAGGACCCGATGAGGGGCTGCCGACGGCGGAGCCGAGGATTTCGGAGTTGGCGGCGCTGGGGTGCGAACAAGCGTGGACGGGGATGAGAAGCGGGGGACGGGGATGAGGCGCCGGGCGCGGCTCCCTCCTTCCCTCCCTCACGCTCCTGCTCCCTCTCCCGGCACGGCCGCTGCCAGCGGCGCCTCCGCACAGCGGATCCGGCCCTCCCTCCCCGCGGGACGGCCCGGCCGCCTCCCGGCGCTCCCTCCATCCCCGCGGSTCCCTCCCCGCCCGCCGGAACCCGCCCCCGCCCGGGCCGGGCGCGCCCCCGCGGCACAGCGCGCCCCCGCGGCGGGAGACAGGGCCGGGGCGGGGCGGGCGCTGCGCTCTCCCCTCCCCTCCCCTCCCCTCCCCAAGGTGTTGGCGGCGGCGGCGGGGACGCGCTCGCCGCTCGTGCCCGCGCCGCCCCCCCCGCCCGCGCTCCCCTCGGCTCTCCCCGGCTGCGGCGCCTCGGCCATGGCGGAGCTGAGCGCCGAGCGGCTGCGGGCGCTGCCCGGCAGCTGGAGTTACGGGATCAGCCAGGGCGGCCGYGTCTTCTTCATCAAGTGAGCGCGGGGCCGGCCAGGAGGGGAGCGGGGCCGGGCCGGGAGGGGCGTGCGGGGAAGGGGAGGGGGGGAGCAGGGGGCGGCGGGGCTGCGCCTGCCTGACTCGGTCCGTGTGTCCGTCCCCGCAGCGAGGAGGCGAAGAGCACGACCTGGCTGCACCCGCTCACCGGCGAGGCCGTGATCACCGGGCACCGCCGCAGCGCAGGTAGGACCCTGCCCGGAGCCCGGCCCGGAGTCCTGCCCGGAGCCCCCGGCCCTGCCCCGGCTCGGCCGCCCCCGCCCGGCCCTGCCCGGCCCTGCCCCGGGCGGGCTCAGCGCGGGGTCCCCGCGGAGCCGCCGCAGCCCCCGGGGACAACTCCTGATCCCGCTTTCCCCGCACTTCGCGCAGTTGTTCCCCCCGGGGTGAGCAGCGCTGCAGTCGCCGTGCAGTCCTGCATGTCCAGCCTGCTTGCCAGTTTCGTAAAGCGCCTTCCCTGCCCCCGAGTTGTGCCTGTGTAATGTATCTGTCTCTGCTTTCCCTCCGTTGCCTTGTATCACCCCTGCGAGACTGTACAGTTACCATTGGAGACCGCCTCGTTCCTCTCGTGCTCCTTGCTGGCTGCCCCGGTTATCCACCTGCACAGCATCCTTCCTTAGTTTAGCCCCAAACCACTCATCGTATTTCTATTTCCAGCMGTATCTAGATTTAACCACGATAGGTGTACTAGAAATGTAGAGGCTGATTTCACTAGTCACCTAGAAACCCTTTTTCTCCCTGCGCTTCCATCTAGGCTGAGAGTCTGTGTGGTTTCTAAGTGACTGAGAGAGGTGGAATAGGTAGGAGGAAAAGGGACTTGAAACATTAGAAATAACTTGGAGGAGGGTGGAATCAGTCTTTGCTTCTGCTGTTTGTTCCACTCTGGAGAAGTAGCAGCAGGAGGTGCTGGAGGAGGAGGATTTGCAGCAGACACTCTGGAGACCCGGAGCCAAACTCTTGACTGCTGGAATTGCACACAGGCTGCATATGCCACTGGGAGGTGGTGGAGTGTAGTAATACGTGCAGTTGTTTTTATGTATATAATCACTTGGATAATCACAGGGAAATCTGCAAGTGAATTGGTCTGTATCAGATTGTTTGCTTTTTATGTTTGGTTAATACTTACGCATTAAGGAATGAGAAGCAGCCTTTT